AGATAAATTAGAGTAAATATACTTTGAATTTTAAAAACATATTTCATAATTAAAGTTGATTAGATACTATTATTTACAAGTATTCAGAGAAAGGATTTTCATGAAAAAGAGTCTCTAAATACCTTCAGTGAAACTATTCAAATAATACAGCTTCATAGTTCATTTTCTATTTTAGATAATGGTATTTTCAATTAATCACAATTCTTTGGTCTTTTTGATTAATCATAATTTTTGAGACAGTGCTTCATGTAGTCTACATTGGCCTTGAGCTGGGTATGTAGCCAAAGATGCTCCTTGAACTCTTGATCCGCCTGCCTCCACCTCCTGAGTGCTGGGATTATAGGCATGCAACTCCATACCTGACCATTTAAGCATTTTTTTCAGTTTCTGTATCTGACTGTAAAATGATGGGTCTAGACCAGTCTAGAAAATTAGAAACAGAGGTTAAAATTTTAAGTAACTTTCCAGTCATCATCTAGTAGTGATGTCTATATAGTTTCCTGTAATTTTTAGTGTGTATTTTTTTCTGAGGCAGCGCTGTTTGAGGATTCTGAAATAGGATTTGAGCTTGATTAAATTTGATGGTAATGATATGCAATAATGTAACCATATGATAAAATACTCTTAGCTGTTACCACTGAATTTATAGAGTAGAAAATAGTCACAATCAAGAAAGTACAAATTTGTAAAAATATTATGTAGGTAACTGATTTTTTTTTAAAGGCAATTCTAAAGCCGGGCGTGGTGGTACATGCCTTTAATCCCAGCATTCAGGAGGCAGAGGCAGGTGGGTCTCTGTGATTTTGAGGCTAGCCTGGTCTACACAGCGAGTTTCAGGCCAGCTGGGGCTACAGGGAGAGCCTGTCTCAAAAAGACCAAAAAAATTTGCCAATTCTGAAATGTTATGCATATTAAAATATTAATAGCTGTGATTATTCTTGGGAAGTGGGTTAAGAGAAGGGTTTTCTTTTTTCCCCTCTTTTGTAGTTCTAGAGATTTCACAAAGAACAGGTCTCATTTCCGTAATAGGGGAAAAAGACATCTGAGATGGTTAAAAAAAAAGTCTGTATATTTGCATGGCAATGACATCTTTGAGTGGCATCTTAGTTTCTGTTTATTTTATTTTTCAGATGCTATATTGAGTGTATGCATTATTTTTTTAGTTATTAAAAACTCAGTAAGCTTTGCTGATATTTTAAATTAGAATGACCTTACATTTTCAAATGTACTTCCATAATTTTTTTTTAATTAGTATGTGGTCATTGCAGTGAGTACAGAAATAAATATGGAGGGGCTGGAGAGATGGCTCATTAGTTAAGAGCACTGGCTACTCTTGCAGAGGACCCAGGTGCAATTCCTAGCACTCAGATGGCAGCTAACAGCCATGTATAACTTCAGTTCCAGGGGATCTGACGCCCTCTTCTGACCTCTGTGGGCATTGCATGACACAGGTGCACTTACATACATACATACATACATACAGGCAATACACTCATACACATAAAAATAATAAAATACTTTTAAAAGAAATAAATATGAGTAAAAATAAGTTTGAAGGTCATTGAGCCTTCAATGAAAGCATGACTCTGAGGATATTTTAATTTCAGACATTTGGCCTCCAGAACTGTGGGGAAATAAATTCTTATTGGTGTAATCTATACATCCTAGCCCCATGTACTGATTATCATTTAACATACTATAAACGTGCTTGTTTATTATTTATTTGATCCCAAAGGACAGTGTATCAGAAGGGCAGGGGCTTTGCTTTGTGTACTTATATCTTAGTCTTTAGGGTTAATTTTAAAAATTTAGTCTATAGTCAGATTAACTGCATTAAAATCATAGCTTTGGCTGGGTATGATGGGGCACGCCTTTAATCCCAGCACTCAGGAGGCAGAGGCAGGTGGATCTCTGTGAGTTCGAGGCCAGCCTGGTCTACATAGCAAGTTCCAGGCCAGCTGGGGCTACAAGGAAACCCTGACTCAAAACAAAAAATCATAGCTTTGCTTCCTAATAGTTATATGAGCTTTGACATGTTTCTTAATCATGTCATGTCTTAGTTTTCTCATCTGTACAAAGAAGATGATAGTAGTGCCTATCTCATGTAAGGGTTAAATGTATTATACATGTAAAGTCAGTATAAGTTCATGGTGCATGGTAAGTGCTTCTTTAAGTATGGCCTATCATTGTTGGACTACACTATACAAACATATATGATGGCTTTTAAGGTTAACATTATGTAAGGTTTTTTTCCATTTTGTTATAACATCTTTGTTATATTTAATGAACTATGATGAATGTAATGAACTATGCTATTTCTCGGACACTTGCTGTATCATCAAATTAAGCTTCCATTTGATAGTTGTAAGGAAATTATGTCTTAAGTTGAGGGATAATTCACATTTACTTGACCCTATTTATTTATTATTTATTTATTTTGAGATAGGGTCTTCTTGTATAGTTCAGACTGGTTTCAAACTCAAGATCTTCTTGCCTAAGCTTCTCAGGTGCTGGGATTATAGATGTGTAACACTATGTTCTGCTTTTTATGAGTCTTAATCTTAACAGTAGGCATGAAAATATTAATTCTTAGCTAGAATCACCCATCAGAAAAGGACTTTTGTCTATGTGAGAGCTTGTTGTGGCAGACTCTCTGAATTAATCATTATAAAAAAAAATCAGCATACTATGTTGCACTGTATAGAAAAAAATGCTCAAATAACAAAACATTGTTTTCAGCCCAGAAGTTCATTTTAAAATCTAAATGAAATTTTATTTTCTGCAGATGGTTGGTAAAGGCTTTTTCCTAGTTCAGACAAAGGAAGTATCCATGAAAGCTGAAGATGCTCAAAGAGTTTTTCGGGAAAAAGCATCCGACTTCCTTCCTCTTCTTAACAAAGGTATTTTCTGAATAACCAGTAAAGTTTGGGGATTATTTTCTTGCTATCCTGATTTGACATTTCTCTTTTTTCTACATTGCCTTCTCTTCCTCATTTGTTCTATGTTTCTTCCTATTACTACTTAGATAAAAATTTCATATATCATTCAAAAAGTCCTATAAAACTAAGTTTTTCCTATTCTGTATTCTTAGTACTTAAAAAGCCACATGTTCTATATTTTCGTTTTAATTTTTATTGTTTTACTGTTGCAAAGCACATGATAAAGATGTGTTTTGGTCATACTGAAAAATAAGAAATACAAATAAAGTCACTGTTTTCTGTATTTAGTATGATTAACTTCTCATGTAAAATTAGAAATTTCCCTGGTAAGTGAATGCCAAGTACTGGATAAATGTATACAAGAGAGGAACTGGAGTTTGTTTGCCCTGTTGAAGGGTTGCTGCTCCCTATATGTTTTTGAAGGTGTACTGATTCTAGAGAACAAAATACTCTTCATCTATTGGGAGTAGGGGCATTGTTTGCTCAAGGCTCATCTGGCTTTTCTTGACCAGCATGAACCAATATAAAAATAATATTCAATGCTAATTAAGTATATTCTAGAGAGAAGCACAGCTGTACTTGTGTTCTTTATGTATAAATAAATTATAATGAACTCCAAAAACGTGTGTGAAAACGTTGGAGTACTATTAAGATAATTTTAATCAGTAATGCTATGTATAACTGAGCTGCTAAGTATTAGCTCAGTATTTCATATACTTCTGAGGTTACGATAGTAGTAGCAAGGAACACGGTGCTTCAGTGTACCTCAGAATATATTTTGACGTGGGAATATTCAAATGAATTCTTGAAAATGAACCTTTAAACGCTCATCAGCTTTCAGAAATGGAATCAAGTAATAAGTGTAATGCATATCCTAAAGTGTGAGGGTTAGGGATTCAGTCAGTAATCTGAATTAAGGATTTATATATTTATATATACAACATTAGTAAAGAAGTAGGGCTGGAGAGATGTCTCAGTGGTTAAAAGCATGTACTGCTCTTGCAAAGGAGTAAAGTTTGATTCCCAGTACACACATCGAGTGGCTTACAACCACTAGAAACTCCAGCTCCAGGGGGATCCAGTTACCTCTGGCCTCCCTGGGAACCTGCACTCATGTACACATACCCATATGAAGACACACATACACATAATTTAAAAAACAAAACAAATCTCTTTTTTTTTTTTTTTTTGGTTTTTTTTTAACAG